GTTTGACCCAAGGACGCACCCTATTGAAATTGAAGACTATCGATCAAAATTTAGATATAGCTGCCATATATATCTTCTTCCGGTCCAGCTCAAATAATATGGAATTTTGCATATGTGATCAATTTAAGCCTAGAAATAAACATTGTTTTTTTGTCCTCCGCACTCTGTAACAATGGTATTTATGGAAATAATCAAATCAGTTGTCACTAAATCCCCCAAAATTTCGGGAAAACACTCAATATTTTTGCAAAAAAGTAAGCCCGTAATAAGAAATAGTAACCCACTCTTGTTAAAAATGTGACTACCAATGTCGTTTTAGGGTAGCCAATTAAAACCTGGATCTAGATATATTACAAAAATGCTCTTTCCTATTAAGTAATAAAATACCCCTATAAGGACATGCCAAATAGTGAACCTTTTTTGAAGTTTTTTGGCAGAAAGATATTCAAATTAGCTGATATAGGCCACTTTCAATTCATATCACCATATATAATCCTATACGGCCTAAAGACTTAAATTTGAATGTCGTAATTTCTTATAAATTCCTATCAAAGATCGACCATATCGGCTAACCTCTTTCGTATATCCCCTCAAAAGTTCAGTACATAAAAAAGTTATTTATCTCATAGAAATCGACATTTAGCGGAAAATTCTCACATCGTTAAATCTTAATCGGATTTGGGCCAAATGAACCATATTGAAGCCCCTTTTCTGGTCTTCCCTATCAATTGGGAAAAAATTCTAATAATCTTAACTGGCCTTAAGTGCAAATCTTCGAAAATGTCAAGATCTCTACCAACTTTTTATTAGGTGAACGATAGGATATGAAGGTCCACTGCTTTCGATACTTTTTTGGGGAAACCATAAAGTTTAGACATCCATAAGCCATCTGTGCACTTTTACTTTTAAAAAAATCGTATTTTACGAGAGTTATGATTTACTCTTTTGGGAAGATACGAGAAGGAGTGGAACGACAGATCTAATCCTTTTTATTTTGGTATATGTTTGAAGAAAATATTATTAGGTACCAAGTTTGGACTATATCGGGTTCTTTCCTCGATTCATTTTTTTTTTTTTTTGAAAATCGATGGTAGCTTCTGTTGTGTGGCACGCGTGTTGCTAAGACCACATCATCTCCTTGAACTTTTGTGAACGGAAATTTATTTAACATGGCCCGATAACATAACGCCCGCTCTTGGCCCTCTGGACCAAAAAACCGCACCAAATTTTCACATTTTGTCTAATATAGGCAAAAATATAACGATGAGTCAAATTCAAAGAAAATCAGACACTAATTTTACAATTGAGGAGAACTATGACTATTCAAAATGTGAACCCTATCTGTGGTGCCAGAGAAATGACCCATGGACCTGATCTAAGTCTGATACAAGTATTAGGTATATTCTCAACTTGGGAGTTTTGTAGGGGAACTACCAGAAAGAATAAATCAATATGTTCTATATCCACATAGATATAGTGTTGATAGGGATATCTGAATGAGAAAAGTTTGAAAATCTTAAATTCATTTTTCATTTAAAAAGAGTTATAATTTTTTGAAATTTTGAGCCTCTATGTGGCAGGTACTGGACCTAACCTAGCCCTGAAATATGAAAAAAAATACGACAATATACAAAGTTTGAATGAAATTGGATACTCGCTCCGATTTCTGTGAGATATGCATTTTTTTAAATATTGTCAGTTTTTTTCCACAAGGGAATGTTGTGGAACTATATTACCATCAACCATGCTATGGAGGGTATATTAATCATGTCATTCCGTTTGTAACTCCTCGAAGTTCTCATGTCAGACCCAAAAAATTATATATATTTTAATCAACTCAAAATTCTAAGTCGATTTAGCGATATCAGTCTTATTTTTCTAAAGGATCAGTCCTCCCGAATGCATTCTTCTTAACACCAAAAAAATAATGTTATGTTCTCAAAAACATTGGCAGTCTTTCATATGAATGATAAGATAAAATTTTTTCCTTCACCAATTTACATCTTGAATTTATGAAAAGATCCTCCAGTCCCAATGTAAAAATATAATACGACATCGATTGAAAAAAAAAAGAACAACAACAAACACATTTTCGATCGAAATGAGAACATGACCCACTTAATTCTGTTTGCTACCAAAATATGTTTCTCCAAAATGTAAAACAACAAAAAGAATAGTTTTTTGTTTTTGCCTTCGATACCCTGCAAAGAATTGAAATGCATTGAGAAATAAAAAAACATTCGATAGCACTTTGTAACAGCATTACAACAACAACAACTAAAAAACAGGAAAACTCCCCGTAACCCTGAAGGGGTAATTGCAAAGAGAAGAGGTAACATAAACAAATTGTAAACAATTAGGAAAATGGAAATCACAGCGGGGAGGAAAATATGCTGAAGAAAAAACTAAGCGGCGATAATTGTTATGGAGGGATACGATGCTTATACCAATGGAATTTTATGCGACAATATTATGGGTACGGTTTTCCTTAAAATTTCAAAATACACGAGATTAATGCGAAAGTGAATGCAAACCAAAAATACTAACCCAAATATAATTTTTAACATTTGTAATTTATTAACAAGTAAAAAAGCTGTAAGTTAGGCCGGACTGATCTTACTCTCCGATCTTTGAATATTTGGAACGATTTTGGCAATTTTCAAAAAAGAAAAAAAAACATAAATAAATAAATAAAATAAAATCCGTTAAAAATTCTGTAGACAACTTTTGTCATAAACCATTACAATATTCAAATGCGAAACTTGAATAAGAAAAATCGGGGAAATATGCAGCTTAAGTCATCCAAATTCCGAATATAGGAGGTACCGTTATAATGGGGCTATCCGAAGACGTGGACCTGCACAGACAATTTTCTGTCATGGGCTGTAGTATCCATAACGAACTTCAAACACAAATTTCAAATAATTCTGGTGAATAATATCGCTAAAATCATCAAAATACCGAATATCGGGGGGTACCGTTATATGGGGGCTATACGAAGACATGGACCTGTACATACAATTTTCTGCCATAGGCTGTAGCATCCGTTACGAACTTTAAATACCAAATTTAAAATATTTCCGGTAAATAATGTCCCTTAAATCACCAAAATACCAAAAATGGGGAGGCACAATTATATGAGGGCTATACCAAAACGTGGACCTACATCACCCATTTTCAATACCAAAAGTCCTGCAGACATAATACACATTTGAGTAAAATTTTATCAACCTACTTCATTTCATTCGGAAGCTAGATTGATTTCCACAGAGGGACAGATGGACGGACATCGTTAAATCGACATAGATTTTTATGCTGATCAAGAATATATATGCTTAGTGCGATCTAAAATGTATATATCGAGGTGTTACAAAAAGAATTTTTAACTATTTTTTTTTTTTTTTTGGAAGAATTGTTTTTTTAGAGACCTTCCTTAGGATCTATTATTTGAGATCTTTTAAAAAATATTGCCGTAGAAAGTTCTTAAAATTTGGTATAACAGTATATTATTAAGATCGAGACCCGACCTTGGAGAAGATTTATTAAAAACATGTGAAAAAATAGAGCTGTTATTCATCTTTTTTAAAATATAATTTTACTTTATCTCAAAACACATCAAAAATATTTCCCCCTGTTTTATAGCAAATTAGCTGAACTGAATTCAAATCCAACACCTGTATTTTTAATGATTTCAATATTAAGTACAACTCAAAACAATATAAACTTAAATCCGAATCCTATTTAAAAAAATCTGTGTAACTTGACATAAATTTTCGTGATGACCTTCCACAGATGGTTTTTTTGGGGAAATTTTTTTTTTTTTAAATAATCTGATATTGTTTCCAAGTTGCTGTTGATTTTTGCCGCCAACGCCAAAATAATCTTGATCTCTAAAAATGGCGCAATCTTTGAACAATTTTTTCCCCAATAGTGAAACTATTACGAAATTTTTACGAAAAATATGTGAAAGAAGATTCGTTAATGAATAGCGTTTTTTTTTTTTTTTTTTTTTTTCAAAATATTTCTTGTTGTTGTCATTATTCGATGATGAAAAAAAAAAGAAACTAGAACGACCTAACTTTCATAGGAATTTTCTCTCAATCAAATATTTATTGATCTCTTATTGTGGGGCAGAACAAGAGAACAAAGAGAATTAAAATTTCTATAAAAAAAATTATTTCGATTTTCTTTTCAACGATTTTCTCACGCCCAAAATGCAACCGTTGCCATATACGGTACTTTTGCCTATTGCCTTATGATTAGTCAGCCACGTCATGGTCAGAGGGGGGCGAAAGTTGTGGGAGAGCCAACACTACTTTTGATCACGTCTAACTAAAAAAAAAAACTCATTTTTTTGCAACCTGGTGAAACTATCTCTCATTAACTTTTTCTCCATGGCGTTTTACCATTCTCTTTCATTTCGCGCTCTCTTTAGTTTTTGACCAGCAAATATTTTTCGTTTTTCTTTTATCTTTCTTGTCCTTTCTTTATTGTTCTCTTCCACCCACTGTCTGTCTGTCGTAATGTGTTTGCTTTGACCACTCTTTGCCCCTCCTGAGGAAGAACTCTCTCCCAGCATTCATCTGAATAGTCCATGAACAACCTGAGCAAATGTTGGAATGTTTGGTTTATTTTTAGTTAGCGATGATCATAGCGAAGAGTATTCGCCTGAGAGTGTATTGGTGTTGTTAGCGATTGAGGGTCCTGCCTTGTTGAAATGTTTAACGGAATTTTTGGATTTTCTTCGACGCTCTGCACACAAACACACACATGACACAACATTCACACTCACACCATCACCCACAGCCTCCCTCCCACTTGGATTTTTGGGGCTAGCACACAAGTGATCGCGGCGTTTTGTGGGTGTATGGGTGCTGTCTGTTGGATTTTTCACGTTTTATTTTTATCTTTTGGTGTTGTTGCCGTTCTATTCCTTGTATGTGTTTTTTGGTGTGTGATTTTTTGCCTCGATTTCCGTGATTTGTTTTATCACTTTTTTCGTGGTATAAAATCTGGTATCCGGTGCTCCGAATCTTCAGTCAGTCATTTGTGTTCCAAAGCGTACACACCGTATTCTTCTTTCTTCTCCGTTAGTAACAAATAAAACAAATCCGACATCATGTGTGACGATGAGGTTGCTGCTTTGGTCGTTGATAATGGTGCGTTTCGATCTAAAACCTAACTCCTGTGGATTAAACGGATATACCGACCGCCCGACTCCACCCAACAAAAAAATACAACAAGCAAATGGATTTAAAGTGTTTTGTGGATATTTCTCATAATCAAAGTCGAAGGATCTTGATATCCTTTTTTGTGATGAAGAGAGACAAATGGTGCTAATTTGAAAAAAAAAATATTTTTTGAAAATGTGCTAAAAATATATTGTGAAAAATGACGTGAATTGAAAAAAATCAAAAAAAAAATTTTTTTTTTAAATTTGAAAAAAATTAATGAAAAAAGAAACAAAATTAAAAAAAATATTTTTAACATTAAATACCAAAAAAATATGTATCCAAATATTTACGTCACTTTTTACAAAGCATTTTCAAAAATATTAAATTTTTTCCAAAATTCCAGGCATTCAAATTCTATGAATGAATGCACCACAGTCACAAATCTACAGCAAAAAATCATTATGAATTCATTCATAAAATTCTCAATTCAAAAAGAAACCAGCAAATGGACATTAATTCGACAAAGAAATTAAACAATTTTTAAAATTTCAAAATTTGCCATCGTCGAGATATTACGTCACAATATCTTTCGTAACCCAATACAGCATCAAATTGCATAAGATGGCAACAGAGATATTAAAAATTTTGAAAAAAATGCCTCTACGGCAAAAAATCGACCGCAAAAATATTTGGCGAATGGCCAATCGAATTGGCTTCGCAATTTTCAATATTTAATTTTTTTTCTCCAAGAAAATTCATTTACCTCTCTACGAAAAAGAAAAATCCATGAGAATGTTTTTCTCATCTCTTCCCTGGCGCTAATATTCAAAAGTCCAGGCTGATGACACACACTGAGAGTTTTCCCTCTCACCCTCTCTCTCTCTCTCTCTCTCCGAGATACACAATTTTCCAAAATGTTAACACGGGAAATCTTTGCCGTTCGTCGCCACAAAAATATTCTTCGATCCACAAAACTTTAAACTCTATTTTGCCGACGACGTCATTTTACCGTTATGCTACCGTCACAACGTCCACGTTATTAACGGCGAAATTTCTATTCGTTTTAGGCTCCGGCATGTGCAAGGCTGGTTTCGCCGGTGATGATGCTCCCCGTGCCGTCTTCCCCTCAATTGTAGGTCGTCCCCGCCATCAAGGTGTTATGGTTGGTATGGGCCAAAAGGACTCCTATGTCGGTGATGAAGCCCAATCCAAGAGAGGTATCTTGACCCTCAAGTACCCCATTGAACACGGTATCATCACCAACTGGGATGATATGGAAAAGATCTGGCATCACACCTTCTACAATGAATTGCGTGTTGCCCCCGAAGAACACCCCGTCTTGTTGACTGAAGCCCCCTTGAACCCCAAGGCTAACCGTGAGAAGATGACCCAAATCATGTTCGAAACCTTCAACTCCCCCGCTATGTATGTTGCCATCCAAGCCGTACTCTCCTTGTACGCTTCCGGCCGTACCACCGGTATTGTTTTGGACTCTGGTGATGGTGTCTCCCACACCGTCCCCATCTATGAAGGTTATGCCTTGCCCCATGCCATCCTCCGTTTGGATTTGGCTGGTCGCGATTTGACCGACTACTTGATGAAGATCTTGACTGAACGTGGCTACTCTTTCACCACCACCGCTGAACGTGAAATCGTTCGTGACATCAAGGAAAAGTTGTGCTATGTCGCTTTGGACTTCGAACAAGAAATGGCTACCGCTGCTGCCTCCACCTCCTTGGAGAAATCCTATGAACTTCCCGACGGTCAAGTCATCACCATCGGTAATGAACGTTTCCGTTGCCCAGAATCCCTCTTCCAACCTTCCTTCTTGGGTATGGAATCTTGCGGTATCCACGAAACCGTCTACAACTCCATCATGAAGTGTGACGTCGATATCCGTAAGGACTTGTACGCCAACATCGTCATGTCTGGTGGCACCACCATGTACCCCGGTATTGCCGATCGTATGCAAAAGGAAATCACCGCCTTGGCCCCATCCACCATCAAGATCAAGATCATCGCTCCCCCAGAACGCAAATACTCCGTCTGGATCGGTGGTTCCATCTTGGCTTCCCTCTCCACCTTCCAACAGATGTGGATCTCCAAGGAAGAATACGACGAATCCGGCCCCGGCATTGTCCACCGCAAGTGCTTCTAAATTGTTGGTTTCCAACATCCCACAACCACCCCCCACCACCACCAACAACAACAACTACACTTACCAACAACACTTGCTACGTTTGCACTCGGTTGTCTGTTGTCTGTGTGTTTGTATGGCTATTATCAGTCATGCTTGCGCTCGGGCGACATTCAATTGTTGTTGCTTCCTGGGCATAGTGTGACCAACATCCACACACACACACACACATGTAGTGCCTAGTGTAGAGAGATGCCCGCCCATCGTATTTGGTTCCAGATTATTTTTTTTAAATGTATGACTGAATTTCTTACACTAATCCCCCCCAAAAACCAACGAACATCCTCGACCTGATGCTACGCACATCAGGACAGTACAGCAACAACAACATCACCCCCCTTAGATGATAATTTTCGTGTGTCCTGAATGTTCTCTGTGTCATTTTGTGTCTTAACAAAAATTATTGTCCACTCTGTCTGTCTTTGTGTATAGCGCAATATAATAAAAATTTTATTAATTTTTTTATAAGGGGTTTATTGCCACATGTAAAATAATCTAATGTTTTCTTATGTAATTTTTTTAATCTAATGAAAAAAAAAACACCAAAAAATACCAAAAAAAAAAAAAACAACAACATTTTTTTGATTTTTTATACAATTATTTATTTTTTTTTTTTGCTAATGCAAAACACACTCACCTACTACACACTACCACATACAACAAAAAAACAATTCTTAATTTAATATTTTATATAATAATAAAATAATAGTTACAATTTAGTTTTTTTCTAAATAATCACAGTGATTATTTTGATTGAATGAATGAATGATGACAATGAAAGTTATGTCAACGATTATGAGTATTAAAAGTTCGGTAGTTAAAAAGATTCTTCAAAAATGGAATATAAACATTGAAATTAATGGATGCTTCTATTGAGAAATATCCAGAGTTGATATTTTCTAAAGCCACTGACAATATTAGAGATTATTGATTTAGACTTTTTCCGTTTTTCCAATAACAATGGGTGCAAAGTTGTAATATTAGGTATTTTTTGAATGAAAAGATTCAATATTTGTTGTCCTCACTCATAAAAAGTCACAAATATTTCAAGTGGCTGCTACAAAAGAATGTGATTCATGCTAGAAATATATATGATCAGATGAATTATCCATCATACATTTGCATGTCTATGAAAAAAAATTATCATCTCATTTTCTGTAGATCTAAAATGTTTGTTCTCCTATGGTTTACTGCCTCGTGGATAACATGACAATGTGTAGTTAGGACAATATTGGGGGATCTTTTTGCCTCTTCGACTGCTATAAATAAACTCACCCATTGTATGTTTGTCTGCCTGTGAACTCAACATCATTGTGGGAGATTTCATATTTCATGGTCTCCTGCCGTATATGGCCATCATTTGTACATATGCTCTTACTGTTCTCTTTTTCTAAAATCTATTGAGAGATATTTTTTATTTACTTAAGAGCAACATCTTCTCAGAGTATAATAGTAAATTGTGAATAGGAAATAGACACTTAAACATATTTCACCAATCATAAAATGTTTGAAAAAACGACTGACAATGCTAGATTGTTAAAAAAATAACAAACGTGATTTTGATGGGAAATTTTCCCAATTTTTTTTCTAAGGGGCCTATACGAAGACCTGGACATGCATACACAATTTGTTGTTATAGGCTGCAGTGCCAATTAGGATTTTCAAATAAAAAAATTTAAAACAATTCCGTTGAATAATATCGCTAGTATCATCAAAATACCGAAAGGGTGGTACCGTTATATGTGATGTTTACGAAGACGTGGACCTGCATACGCACATTTTTGTCATACGAAATTTGAAAATATTTGAAATCTCTAATATCATAAAAATACCGAATATTGGGAGTTACGTTATATAGGGGCTATACGAAGGCGTGGACCTGCGTAAGTAATTTTTATACAGTCCACCATACTATGGAGAGTATATATTTTAGACCCCACAAAGAATATATATTCTTGATTAGCATAAAATTCTAATTCGATGTCCGTCCGTCTCACAGTCTGTAGTTAATAAAATTTTTTTTAAATGTATATTATGTCTGCAGGAGTTTGGGTATTGGAAATGGGCCATGTAAATCCACGTTTTGGTATAGTCCCCATATTTGGCATTTCAAGTTTGTAATATATATTACAACTTATGACAGAAAATTGTTTGTCTATGTCCACGTCTTCGCATTGCCCCCATATAAAGGTACGTCCCTATAATCGGTATTTTGGTGATTTTAGCTACATTATTTGCCGATATTTTTCAAGTTTCGCATTTGAATATTGTAATGACTTATGACAAAAATTGACCATGCAGGTCCACATCGTCGTATAGACCCTGATATAACGGCTACATTCGGTATTTTTAAGATTTTAACAGAATTTTTAATGGATTTTGTTTTATTTATTTATTTTTTTTTGAAAATTGCCAAAATCCTTCCAAATGGTGGAGGCTACACAAAGTTCGGGCCGGCAGAAACTACAGCTTTTTTACTTTTTTAAAAAAATATTAAATTAATTTTTGTTCCGACCGGAGAACACATATTGTTTATGACGATGTATAGCCTCAGCTAATGTTCGATTATTTAAATGTATGGTGACTTCTGTTATGATAACTCGAAATTCTTCTATGGAGTAGCCTTCGAAAGAATTAGCCAATATTGTCTATTTTGTATCGGACCTAAATAAATATGATACAAATATTGCGACGTGCCAGGTTTAGACTATATCGACTACTTCCTTCACTTTATATGAGATATGGTAACATTTTTAGAAAATTTAAATGTCCGTGATGTAAAAGATATATTCGACCGATTCCATATTAATTTCAAGTTTCTATTTGAGAGAAATATTTAGATATAGCAAGTTGTAAAGCATGTTTCCCAAGTTATGGCAGATAAAAGTATTGAAAATTGTGATCCTTTGTTGGTTAGGTATGAGAAGGGGTTGACAGATATATATCATCTTCGCAACAAATCTTGTGTTAGTAAAGATGTTTGTATGTGTGAAATTTAAAGAGAGTTGGGTGCTTATTTGAGCGTTTTGTGTTTCAAAACTTTGAACCCTATGTGGGGAAGGTTCCCGAAGAAATGGTCCGATCTCTACCATCCTTATAACAGATCTTACGTTGATAGCAGTATTGAGATCTGCCAAGTCTGAATGGAATCGGGTGAAAATTTTGTGTTTATAAGCTTCATGAATACTCACAATTTTGAGCCTTTGTGGGGGAGGTACCAAAAGGGGTAGACCGATATATCCCATCTTTATACCAGACCTTGGGTTAATAAAACTATTGTGATGTGTGTAATTTGAGGAGAACAGGATTCTTATTTCGAATTTTATGATCGTTTTGGTTGTTCAAAACATTGACCCCTTGTGGGGGAGGTACCAGAACGAATGGTTCGATCTCTACCATCTTTATAACAGATCTTGAGATGTACCAATTCTGAATGGAATCGGATGTTAATTTCGAGTTTTGTGAGCTTCATGGATATTTAAAGTTTTGATCCTTTGTGGAGGAGGTACCAGAAGGAATGCACCGATATTTTCCATTTTCACACCAGACCTTGCGTTAATAAAAATATTGTGATGTGTGTAATGTGAAGACAATCGGACTCTTACCTCACATTTTATAAGTGTTACAATTATTCAAAATTTTGACCCTTTGTGGGGGAGGTACTTGATGGAGTGGACCGATATTGTCCATTTTCACACCTGACTTAGCACTGACGCAAATCTTAGGATTTGCAAAGTTGGAGCAAAATTGGATTGTCCGTTCTCTTTCTGTGCAAAAAAAAATATTTTTTTGAAAATTTCGACCTTTTGTGCGGGAGGTACCAGAAGGAGTGAACGTTATTGCCAATCTCCGAAATCGATCTAATTTTCATAATAGTATTACGATGCACTTAGGTTGGGCCAAATCGTGCGACCAGCCATCCAGATAGAGGCATGGACATCGCTAGATCGACTCCAAATGTCCTGAAACGGATTTTGTCCAAAAGATCTAGGGTCTAAAATCATTATTTCGACGAGGCACGTTTTAGCCATATCAAATGATATATACCCTCTCTAGCCATATGGCTGAGGGTATAAAAAACAAGATGAATCTCCAATTGCGCCTTCAACAGCCAGATCAAAGAGGCGCTATTAAAACGACTTAAAACATTTTTATTGTTTCAAAGTTGGTGTTTGGTGTTGATAAAAGAAAATAATACACAATTCCTGATTGTAAATAATCCACACATATTCACGTTTTCGTATAGTATCCAAAATTCGGCATTTTACTGATTTATGCCGGATTTTTGTTAGCGGAAAATGGTAATCTGCAATTAAACTAAGGATCTGTTCCTCAAATTTTCCTATTTTACTTAAATCATAAATAACGTCATTCAAAAACAGAACCTGACATTTTTTGCAAAACTCGAGAGAAAAGTACTAGGTACGAAGGAGAAGAGTTCTAATTCTTTGAAGAGGCAGTAAAAACGTTATTTTTTAAATTCTATGGCTTCGGAGCTAGAATTTCACATAAATTTAGATGGAGTTTTAGAAACTTTGCTTTAATTTTTTATTTAATTGCCCTCAAAATGTTCCTGCTTGATTTTACCGAAAATACATATGACTGAAAATGGTACCATATGGAGCGGTCGCTGAAATTCTCGTTTTTATATACCTAAAGCAATTAAAACATTCTGCATTGATTTTAAAAATTGATTTTTTATACCCAGAAATATTCGACGCAGGCCCTATAAAGTATATAATTTTGATCAGCACAAGAAAATATTCCATGGTCCTGTTTCTGGGGTGACGATACGGAAGAAAATGCAAAAGAGAAGAGAGTTTTCAATTTTTCCACATTAAATCGAAAATTGTAAAATAAATTTTAAGTGGTGTTCTTATTATAATAATGATGTCCTACCGGCTTTCCTTTACTTGGGAAAAAGAAAACAAAAATCATCCAAAAAAAAAAATAGATAAATCAAAATTTATTTTAATGTATTATTTAATATATAATATTATTTAAGATTTTATTTCTAATCATTTTTCATAAATAAACAATTATTTCTTTTATGTACAAAATGTATACAATTATAGAATACTTCAAACCGGATGTGTGTGCATTACTTTTGTATATTATCCTGGCGGCAATTAGTTAAACTAACCAAATTCAACTATCAACCGCTAGGCGAGACTATAACACATTTCGTATTTAAGACACAAACCCGTATTCACCACATGCGCAGAGAGATTCGGTTTTGTCTATGCTCTCTTAAAAACACTTACACCCTTAAGAGAAATCTTACTCTTGCAGGGCAAGAACACTTCTCTTTTCCCTCAAAAATTTTGTAAAGTGGTGGATTGCTAAACTCAACCCCACAGCTATGGGAATAAAAGGAGTATAAAAGGACTTGTAGGGACACCCATTGTTATGAAATATCAAATGGAAATAAATTGCAAAAAAAAAAAAAAAAATCACGGGGATGATTAACCCACTCGACGATGAAGTCGCAGTTCCTTTGTGATTTATCATGAAATTAAACTTTAGGTAAAAGTCATATTTGTTGTCTATAATTTTCACAGTTGGTGGTTGGCTGTCGGCACAACAACAACCGAACATTTTCACAAACTGACAAAATCACACGTTCTGGCATTGGAGTGGATAAAAAGGGACTAAATTAAAATGTATCACAAACTAATCAAATCAGTAGGTTGTCGAACATAATACGTACATACATAAATGAGTGTTCGGTTATTTTTAATGGAAGAAGGAACAGATATTCCATTTTCTCACAGTAAGAGTTGATGTTTAGTTGAAGATAAGAGAAAATAGCTCTTAAATTATACACAAGGACATTATGGGGAATTTGTCAAAAAAAAAAAGAAAAAGTGAAACACTCTAAAATTATGTTGATAATCAAAAGTGCTGTTCGTCATTTCCTAACGGAGAGTTATGTTTGTAACTCTCGCTCTCTCTCTTACTCTTATATATATAATGGGATTGAATGGCAGTGGTTGTATTTATCATGTCCTTATTAAGAGGAAATAATCGTGGAAATTTTTTAGTTGTAATGGTGACAGTGTTTTTAATTAGCATAGCCTTCGTTGTCTTAATGTGATCTCCCTTGTTGTAGCCGTTAGGGACTAATGTATCCTGCAACTGTTTTATTTTTTTATCTTTTAATCTTTTTCATTAATTGATTACAATTTAATTATTGTTTATAGGGACTTTCGTATGTGATTTGATTTTGAATGAACGTGGAATATTTAGCCTATGATGGTCAGCACCACCACCATCACAATGACAGGACGAATTATTTCGGCACATTTCCTTGTGGTATTTGTGTTGAGTTATAATTGCATTTAATTGCAGGTTGTCAGCGCTATCTCTTATAATACCTTGTCAATAGAAAGGGTAAGGAAATATTTATTTAGGTAGCTCCCCTAATAGTTGATGGTCTACAAATCCCAGTTGGATAGTTTAGGGTAATTTTCACTCATCATATTTTGAATATTAAAACGTCCTTTTCAGGGACAAAGAAAAACTTAGTATACCTCCAGTAATCCGAGTCTTAAAGTAGTTTGTAGATATTAACTACATTAACCCTTTTCAAATTTTCCATTCTTGTTTTCTTCTACATGGGGATTCCTGGTTTTGGTTTCCAAGTTTTAACACCTGTAAAGTTCAATTGCGAGGGGGCTGGTTTTTCATTTTGAAAGTTTTTTTTTGGAATAATAACAAGAAATTTGACCATACATTGTTTTACTTCATCCCCTTAGATAACAAATCATAATTGTGGTTATTAATTATTGGGGGTGAACTAGAAATGATTTAATCTGATTATTATTGGACACATATTCTATGTAATTATAAGCTAATGATTTATTTATTTTTATTTAGTTTGCATTGCAATCCCACGAAAAAGGGTTAAAGTTGAGAAAAATAACAGGAAATACAATATGTTTGAATAACCCTTTACTACGACAATGACACTATATATAACTATTTGGTGTTGAATATTGTTTCGCCAAAAGGGTTCATCACAGGTGTTATTTTTTATTATTCCAGCAACTATAACAAGGTTTTGAGCACTGCTGGAGTTGTGTATATTTTCTGTTTACTTAAGCTATAGTGCACATATCATTTTTTTTTACCGAAATGTGTTTAAAGTAGTTTTCATAAATGCTAAGCCCCAAGCTGACAAATCGTAACTAATTGTTTTGAAAAATTAAATTGAAAACTTCAAAATGTCTTAAATTGGTCGATTACTGCAGTTTTAATGCCACACCAAAACGTGGACCTGAATTGAAAATTTGATTAACTTCTCAATTTCGACATGAAATGTTCCAAACGATATTCGTTTGGTACAAGGACGAGCCTTTGAAATTGGTGAAAATCGGTTCAAATTAAGATATAGCTCCCTTCAACCAATTTTGGGTTAATTGTGCACCAAACGGCCAGTATCAGTCCAAATGACCTGAATTGTGGCACATCTTATCGAATTAAGTCTAGAAGCAGATATAACTATAACTAGGTAAAGTCCCTCACATCCGTAATATGCACCCCATATTAATAGAATTAATAAAATGCTATTTTAATGAGCGTATTTGTGTCTACGTATATCAGCTCTGATTTAGTTATAGCTTCCATCCGATAAAAATTTTCTATCCGATTTCACATTAAAATTTAACTATTCGACCATACAATTTTTCATTCAAACTACTCCAAGGATGTAATAAGTATTACATATCTAGCAAATGTTCCCTGATTCGTATCGGAAAATTAATTTACACCATACCGATTATAGCACTATAAGTGACCAATAACACATCACGCATTTCCAAAAACTGCCAATTGTTTAACCCAATGCTACCCTCATAGAAAAGTTCATAAGTTCAGCTCCATTCCTCATACACTTAAATCAAAATTTGTACAATTTTCTCTATATATATACGTTACACGCTTAGAGGGATCTATACTCTTAACTCAAGCTCTTTTCTTACACTCTATACCAAACCTGGTACCATTTAGTACGCTTCGTTCACGTTATAGTACTAATTTTCAAATGTACCTCCTTATCTAAATTCTCCGCATTCACAGTGATCCCAATACCAGAATTCATAATTGCAGTTCTATTCCTACACCATAAGTCAAATTTAGTACCATTTGGCACTTCTCGTGAAGATATTTTACTCATTTCCGGAACCACATCTTTCTATAATTAATTTAAATATCACACTTTTATCCTTTCACCCAAAATCGGATTGTACCAAGTTTAGTAGTATTTATTACATTTCTAGTACTTAGAAAACATTTCCAAAACTTTATTTCATCCCTACTTCCAAGACTTGACTCATATACTAAATTTCAAGGCCTTACCCTACACAAATTCGAATGGTACATACATTCGTACATTTTAGTATTTTTGGTACACTTACAGTTTGAATTTCCAAAAACTCCTTGGTTCATCTATCTCATATAACATCAAAGACCATCATTTCGAATTTCAGGTTTTCAGCTCTATCCCTCAACAAATACCAAATTAATTTCCATTTAGTAATCATTGTACGCTTTTAATGCATCTTTGCCAATCCTCTTCCATACATCAAACCTCCACACAAAAAGTGATCCTATTATCAAATATTAGATTTTCAACTCTATTCCATCCCCAAATGCCAAATTAATTACTTTTTAGTACTTTTTAGGTATTTCAAAAGTAAACTCCAAATCTCAACCTGAGACACAAAAATAGTGACCCGTATGTAGAATTTCAGATTTAAATAACTATCCGTTCACAGAATGCCAAATTTTGTACCATTTAGTATTTTTCGTAGACTCTTTATTTATTAGATTGGTAACCACAAGACGAGCATTTCAAAGACTGCATCCTTTCAACCAAAAATAATTTGTTCCAAATTTAGTACCATTTAGTATAGGACTTACTTTGGTGCACATTTCCAAAACCGTCTACTTTCCAGACTTCATTCTTATGCCAATAATACAAAATGGTATCAAATTTAGTGCTTTTTAGTACTTTTATACAAGGTGGCTCAAAAGTAATCCTTCTATCAGAAATTTTTATAAATTTTTCGATTGGCCCCTAATATCTTAATTACAGCCAAAAAACATTGAAAAGTCTGTCAAGTACATATGCATGTACAAGATGGCGTAAAAGTAAACTTCCGATTTTCTTTGGCTGTAATTAAGACATTAGGGGCCAATCTAAAATTTATAAAATTTTCTTATAGGAGGATTACTTTTGCGCCACCTTGTAAATCAAATTTTTCGGTACATCAATCATATACAACATCAGCGATGTTCATTACAAATTTCAGAATTCTAGCTCTATCTTTTGGAACCTTTCAGTCCACTTGTAGTAGTCGAATCGATCTCAGCCTTATATTACCCCAACACACCTAGCGATGTGATGACTCCAGCCATGCATCCACATAGTGTATATTGTTTTCCCCTCCTGATATTTACAATTTCCTAATTGAGTTTTCTTCATATTATAATTTCGGCCAGGCAACTCTTTGCAACAACTTTGATTACATATCGATCGAATGCTTTAAGCTTTTTTGAGCTTCATTTTTTCTCCTTTCAATGCATAACATTTATTACTAATTATGACACTCATACTGTAAAAATACTCAGTTATTATGACCGCACACCATAATGCTCTCTCCCCCCTAATTATGAAGAAGAGAAACAAATTAAATTTAAAAGTGAATTTTATTGGTGTCTAATTAATTATTATTATTATCTTAATTATATTATATTATATTATATATTTATTTATTTATTTATTTATACATTAAAAACTACAAATAATTATTATATAGAATATCGTATAATAGCTACACATTAAAATAGTGAGAAATGTTAAAAAGGAGCCATGGGATCCAAACGAAAATTGTGGAATGTGAGTAAAATTGCTGGTGATGTAGGGAGTTTAATTGCCTTGATTTTTATATTGTTGGTTGGTGGTTATTGAGATAGTGATATTGGCTATAACTTATTACATTTTTTTTTAATTTAACTGGGATTTCCTTTAAAAAAATATTAAAAATTAAATAAGACTTTATTTCTAGATATGTATGTTTGATTAGGTTTTTCTTGTTCTTGTCCATAAGTGAGACACAGTTCTTACACAAAATCTATCGCAACATCCACTCAAACGATTTATATCTAATAAACTACAACTAATCACTAATTAACTAAACGGTATTTTATTTTAATAGCATTTAAATACTTTTTCTTTTAATCTATGAACATTTGATTGAAATAGCTGCAACCTAGGAATGTAAATTGTAATCACTTTGACGGTGGAATGTGGTGTCCTAGACCATGGTCAGGCTTTTGTTGATGTTCTCCAGATGTTCCTTGGCCTTGATTCGCAGTGTGGCAATGGAATTCGAACGAATATCTGTTGTAGGTGACGGTTGCGTTTGACTGGTGCCAGAGGTTGAGGGTGAAATTGTTGCCGTCGCCGAGGTTGTGGACGAATTTGAATTGGAGTTGGCATTACTTGCCGAGCCGGAGCCATTGCTGTTCGTAATGGCAGGTATGGGGCTCTCACGACCCACATCGACAACTTCAATGTTTACGACAGATGAAGAACATTTCGTGGTCGTGTCATTATCACCGCCATTTCTACTGAGATTTTGTGGTGACAATGCGGATTGGTTGGCGGTATTTGCACTTAGCGATGACAGTGATCCTGATGAGGCTGGTGGTGGCGGCAATGCTGTGAGTGGGGAATTTGTGGCCGAGGCATTTGATGATGAGGTGGATGTTGAGGACATGGAATTGGCCACGGTTATCTGTGGCTGCATTGAGGCCAATGTCTGTGGCGACATACGTGACAAATGGGGCGATAAGTGTGCCAATGACATGTGTGGATGACCGCCATGACCATTGCCCGCCGAGCCCATTGAAGGTAAACCGTGTCCTTGATGACCCGACGGTGGTGGTGGCGGTGGACCATGCATACTGGGACCATGATGACCCATGGCAGCTAAACTGCTCATGGCCAAGTTAGAGGGTGCCAAGCTCAGCGGCGGTGTGAGATAGCTGGGATAGACATTTTGAGGATGTGAAAGGAATCCTGTGGAGGAAAAGAAGAAATTTAATTATTCTGCATTGTTGGAAGGTTTTGTATAAAACCGTACCTGGTAGTGCTGATAGTAAAGGTGGTGACAGCCATGGATCCACAGGTAAGCCAGAGGGTCCACAGCCCAAACGATGTGGCAGTTGTGTAAAGTGTGTTAGACCTAGGCGTAGACTTTCCGATTTCTCTTGACGCCGCCATTTTGCCCGACGATTTTGAAACCAAACCTGTAATGATATAAAGGAAAGGAATTTTGAGTGGAATTTTTTTATTCTTTGCAGAGTTTCTAAAATATTATTAATAAGCTCTACCATAATAAAATCTAAACTAAAATATTAAAAGGCTTGTATTAAAATCAGGTTTATGAGCAGATATAGAATATTTTTGTGTTAATTCTCATTGAAGGAGTGTCCAAAATGTCAAATTACAGGCAATTCGTTGGAAATTGTGGCTGAAAATGAGGAGGTACTGCTATATGTAGGAGTAAATCTATAATCGTATTAGTGATAATACCATCTGAGAACCTCAATTATTATATGACACCTTTTTTTGATGGTGAATTGCATTTCCAAATTAAAAAAAAATCTGAGACTCTTAGGAGACTTATATTTTTTCTATAGGGAAATCGTGAAACCCCCAATTCTAGTATTCCTTTTTTCTAATGAAGAAACTCTAGGACCTTCAGTTTTATAATTTTTAGTGAAAAAACAATACTTCGACCCCTGTGTCTCTGATTTTCATATTTTATAAAAAAAAAAAAAATCTGAAAAAATTGATTTTTGATATTTTTAATAGAACGAATTTTGAGGACTTTGGTTGTTTACAGTAAAATATTTGATTCCTCGATTTTTTCATTGAAAAATACAAGATGGTCTGATATATGATTTTATCTATAAGCAAAAATCTGAGACTTTCAGGTCCTTAATTTTTTATTTAAGGTTTCTAATTTTTTCCATAGAAAAAAATCTAAGACTTTGATTTGTACGGGAAAAAATTCTGAGAACCCATAACTTTTCTGTAGAATAACATCTGAGATCCTCAGGTCTTCGGAAAACCTACATATATATTTTTTATAGAACAAAAGTCTGACAGGCTCAGGTCTTTAAGACCCTCAGGTAATTGTTTTTTTTTTTTTCTATACATAAAAATCTGGAACCATCCCAAGTTTAATATTTTTCTATAGAAAAAAATTGAGACCCTCAGGTCTTAAAGACCCTCAGGTCATTGGTTATTTTCTATAGATACAAATCTGAAACCATCAAATCTTTGATGTTTTTCTATAGAAAAAATTTGAGAACACCAGATCTTTGATATTTTCAACAGAAAAAATTCTCAAAGCTTCAGGTTGTAGATTTTTCAGGAATATCCCAGTCTCTGATTTTGCTCTGCAGAAAATCTTTGACCCTCAGGTATCTGATTTTTTTTTCTGTATAGATTCGAATTCGAAGCCTTCAATAGTTCTCTTTAGCAAGAATTCTGAGAAAAATATCGAGACCTTAAGGTTTTAACTTTTCTTTTACAAAAAGTACTGAGACCAATATGACTTTGGTGTTTTTTTATTGCAAAAAAATCTTGGAACCTCTTGTTTATGATTTTTCTAAAAAAAACTTTAGACAGTAGATATTTTTCAATGGAAAAAATTCTGATACCATCAGTACTGGGATTTTCTTACTCATTTTTTGAGTTACCGACAAACATCGGTAACTTTGAATCCCAAAATTTTGGTATAAAAAAGAAGTTAAAGTTGACAACATTGGTATAATTAGATTTCGAATAATTAGATTTCGTCGCTAACTTACCGAAATTATAAGCATTTTAATATAACTTTGATTTCTTTTAAAGAAAAAATTCTGGGATGACATGGATATTTCTATAGAAAAATTCTGCAACAATTTGGCTTTTAAGTTTTTATTCAGGATTTTTGATTTTTTTTTAAAATTCTGGGACAAAATTCATAATTACTACACTTCGGAATCTTTTTTTTAGATCAAATTAAATTTAATTACCTACAAAATTTATGTGAATTATGAACATTCATATTTCCAACTTTTCGCTCTTTACTCATTTACATAAACCAAAATATTCCTACTTGGGTATCTTCCCATCGCATCCACACCTGCAGATTTTATTTTCATAATCATTTTTAATTAATTTATACAAATTGTGTTTAATTACTTTCAAACGAAACTGACATTTATGTGCCAGAATACACAGACAATACTCGGATAAATGAAAGCGCACACACCCACCCGCAAATGGAAAACATTTTGCATCAACATTTAAAATATTTGCATGTGGTTTAGTTGGTGTATGCGTGTGCGTGCGTATATACCCAAGAGAGCTTGTGTGTGTTTGTGTACATTTCCGTTGGTATTTATCTCAATTAGTAACTTATTTAGTCTGACTGTCACTCTCTTCGTCGTTCTTCTCTTTTTACAACTCTTCATTAAGTCTAATCACAACGAATAATTCTTGTTATCCTTTTGCGTTGTTGCCATGAAAATAATGTCTGCCATTGCAGGGATAGATCGGCAACAGATTAAACAAGGAACTTAACCTCCTTTTCGCTTTTCTTTTGCTCTGATTTCCCTCTCTCTCTCCCTTCTTAGCATTGTGGGTGCAAAAACTTTTTCCTCCTTTCTCCCATCCTTTTGTTTGTTAAGATAATTCTAATTATAGCCTGTATGACTTAATTGAATTTTATCTCCTTGCCTGTTATAGGCCAACCATCAAAGTCCCACACTGTCTGTCTTTGGTGAGGAATGAATGCAAGTTGTCTTTTAGCTGGAGCATCTTCAGTGTTGTTGTTGTGCTTTTAATTTCTTTCAATTTGTGTTCAGTGTTAGTCTTTTGCACATCACTGGAAAAATGCCTTTAATTGTCTGTTTTATGTTTGAATTATGGGTGATGGGGGGATTTGGGGATGTATGTGTCTGTGTGCTTAACCGCCATCTTGTTTCTCGCAACTTCATCTCCCACTCACACACACACACTTTTCAAATGAATTTAGTGTGATAATTAAGCTCATTCATTTGCAATTATATTTTATGGTTTCCCCCCTCTCCGAACCTAAGAGGAAAAGAGAAAGTTTCTTAGCCATGGAAAGGATGATGGAGGAAAAGAAAAGCTTCGAAATTTGTCTTATCACGATGTTGATTATTGAGTTTGTTCTTGTCAAGTTAATGACATTTAACGTGTTTATTGCTATTCTCATTGTGAGTGTGTGTGTGAATGTGGGTGGGTGACTGACTGATGTGTATTGGATTTGTCAGAAGTTGAGGATTGTGTAGGTGTGTGAGTGTGAGTTAAACTGTCTGCGGATATGCCTGACTGGCTGGCTGGCTGCTGTTGTCGTTGTCATTGCCGTCTCCGTTTTGTTACTGTTGTTGCAAGTTTAATTAATTTTTTCGTTCGTTAAACTAATTGCTGCCTAAGGCGATAATCAGCAAGATAGCTGGCAAGCGTGTTCAACGTACAAACAGCCAGCCGAACACTCAAATAGGTTCCCCATAATTAGTTTAATGCCAATTCCCTGTTATTTAATTTTCGTTAAAGTTCAATTTGCAGATTATCTTAATGAATGAATGTTCTATGGCATAATTGTGAATACGGGTTTTAGGGAATTAATTTTGTGATTATTAGTAGACAAATTGGAGATTGTGAGGGAGGGGATAGTGTAAATAGAGTTATTCTCTTCATAATCTGGAAGAGGGATTTATTCTTCAGTGTTTGCTTCAAATGCAGATTATTGAGTTGCGATCTTTGGAATAGTTCTTATGTTTTTGGGGTTCATATTTGACGTAATTATTTTGCCATTTCAACATTTTCCAAAATTGATTTGCTACATATTAATTTAATATTTGATAGGAAACGCAAGGATCAGGCCTTGTATGACATTTTTATGTAGGTATGGCTTGTGTATTACATATTAGCATCAAATGGGGGAAGCGTGTTTATTATTTATTGTTTTTCAAAATTTTTCGGGGATTTAAGGATTTAGACCGATACAGTCTTAATTTAAGTGAGATAAAAATATAATAATGCACAAAATGTTAAATATAGAAGGCACTCTTTTTGGTTTAAATCAAGTTTTTGATTATTCAAAAATTCAACAAATTATGATATGGGTTACAAAAGCAGTGTACAAAATAGTCGATTTTTTGAATTTACAGTGAAATCGATAAAAATATATCAGTGTCCGAAATTTGTATAAAACATGGCCGATCTTCTTTATATTAAAAATATATGATTTTTTTATTGAAAAAGTTAGCTGGCATCGGCTTTGTACAAAACAAAAAAAAAAAAAAAAAAAAAAAAAAAAAAATACAGGAAAACCCATCAGATTATGAATATAGAGCTAAAAATACAAGTTTGCATGGCAAAATAACCTAAATAGAGGGGCAAAATCCACATTCCTTCATCATTTTTTGAAATTTTTGGATGGAGATTCCTTGGTATTCTTAAATTTTAGATATACAGGATAAACTTAGATGAAAAAACTACAACCAACTTCAGACTGCTGTCATTTCTAAGCCAATCGTCCGACAGCTGTTAAAATTATTCCAGTGACAGCTCATTATATTGTTGACAAGCGTACAAAAGCATTTTGGTGAGAATTTTCCAGAAAAAAACTTATTCGTGATGGAATTCAAGTGTGATTTCTTTATATTTGGCTGGAAAACCACAAGTGGCTATCGTTAGAGCACCTGCACCTTCAATTGGCCGCCAGAACTCAAGCTCCGGCCATGGTTATGGTGTGGGCCGCCATAACAGCCGATGGTCGCTCTACGCTAGTATCAATCGACCGTGGCATCAGAATAAATGTCGAATATTATCGCGAAAATATTCTGGAGGATGTATTAAAGCCTTGGACACGCAAACATTTTGGCCGCAGACCTTGGATATTCCAAAAGGACTCAGCACCATCGCACTCATCACGCGCCACCCAAGAATGTTTACAAAATGAGGTTCCTCGCTTCATTTCCAGCGCACAATGGCCACCAAAATCCACGGATACCAATCCGTTGAACTTTTGTGTCTGGAGTATTTTGGAAAGCAAGGTTGACACTAAAAAATACGAAAGTGTCGATCACCTCAAGCAAGCGCTTCACCGGGAATGGGCCAAAATACAGCAGAGCAACATTCGGACAGCGTTTCATTGACCGTTTGAAGAACATAATTCGTGCCAAAGGTGTCCAATTCTATGCTATATTCAATGCTATTTCTG